TGCACGATGCATGGTTTGATGCTGGGACCACTTTGAAGCCACAAACCCATGCAGGCCTTTGGAAATCATTTCGGCTCTTCGTTTGAAGTGCTGGTCTTGACAGGGTGTCCAGACGATGCCGTCTGTTCACGATTCCGACATCGGCCAGCTGCACTTACCTATACTGCCTATACTCAGGTGCACCGGATTGTTAGAGAACAACATCAAAGCGTCGCTTTCTTGGTGGATCGAGAGTCGTTCTTTCGTGATGTGGGGCCAAGGATCAGCAGGATCCAGACGTCGAGTTCTGTGACGACATGCTTGGAAAGGCCTGATACCCGACTTGTCAAGCATATGCAGCCGTCTTTCTGCCGTTGCCGTTCTCAGATATCCAGATCATTTGCAGCTGTGATCCGACAGCTGCCAACGCAGTTGGGCAGGGCTCTCGCAATGTCGTTCGGTGCGAAGACAGCAAGCCTGGCTTCCGGCCGAGGCATCTACATTTGCATCTTCTACTTGGCCGATGGCTCAAGTCCTTGTCTGGAAGATCTGACAGTTTGAGTTGCAGATAAGCCTCGTCAGGCACTTCGTGCTTTAGACACAGTCGAAGATGATATGGAGGCATACAAAAGCGATCGGAGAGATCGGCTTCCGTGTTGCCGAAGACAGGCCAGACATGCCACCGGAGAACTGTAGTGCCCCTTCAGGCCGTGAAACCGAGAAGCAGGAGGAGTTGATCCATTTCGGTGAGAAGAGGCCCTCGACTGCAGTAAACGACCTTTTCTTTATCGGAAGCTGCAAGCTTATTGCTTGCTGCATGCCGGTCCGTCCAGCATCCATTCTTGGATGAATTTGTCTTTGCAGCATGGTGTTGTGGCAGGCTGGGCGATGTCAACTGCAGCATCAAAGGCCGATTGCCAGAAGACGGTTGAACCCACTGTGCAGGATTTGAGCACTTGCGAACAGCACTGTGACGTTTGAACGTGATGTCTTGGATCTTGCACGGACAGCAGAAGTGCCCAATAGGTGTTGGGGCTGCAGACGAACGGACTTGTGGAGCACTTCGGGCGCGTGGCTTGGGACTTTGTCGCATGCGGCGAATATACACTTCTGGTTGTTCTGGTGCCAACATGTGACTGGCATTGAAAAAGTCTTTGGTCTCAAGAGACTGCTCCCACCAGGGAGTATGCGTTGGTCTGACGTTTCGCATTACTTCGCGTGAAAGCAAGTTTCCATGGGTTGTCCAGCCCAAGCTTCTCACTCCGAGGCCCGGGTCTACCTCAAGCTTCCCGCAGGCAGTGGGCAACAGACCCCAGTACGTAGTGGAGCACACGCACCAGTTGGCGTATGATCCAGAGTCCGGAATGTTGCTCGCGGGGTAGATCAGCGAACTCGCAGCTTTGACCGGTGGCTCACCAATTGCTTGCATCGCTCGCGGGCATCTTTTGCGCAGGCAGCAAGGGCGTAATCAAGGACAGCACCGACAAAATGGGTGCCGGTATGGCCGAGTATGCCTGGCACTCTGGTCTTTAGCTAACTTGTGCTGACATGCTGAAAGCGTCGATCTGCAATTTCTCGAGGTGTCTGCAGATCTGGCACAAGGAACTGTGGACCAAGCAGCCTACGACCGCCCTGCCGGCATGTGAAACCTGTTTACTGGAATTTCTCAGCGCGAGGCACACTAGCTGCTCACTAGCTGCTGTACATGTATACCTAGGCTACTGCCACATGGTCACCGGCCTTGTCGGAGAGGGTTTGACACGGATCTTCGTGGCAAGTGGACTTGACACGTGGTGGCATCGATTGCGTGTGTTATAAGAGTCAGCTTAAGTGGGCTGAAACCAATTCAAAGCTGAGGAGGGCAGCAAGCTTGCAGGACAAGGCATTAAGCACCGAAATCTTCAGAAAATGCTCGCAGTTAGCGAATGGTTTGGCGACTCCAGATGCTCGTCTAGAGTCTAGTTGCACTTGGTGCATGGGCAGGAAGACATCCCCAAGAAGTCATTCAGATGTCGGTTTCCGAGCGTCTGCGACGGGCGAAAGATGCTGGCCATTCTGTATCCGTGCTTACCTGCATGGTTCGGTGCAAACGGTGATATGCATGCGAATTCGAACCATGTCGAGGCCGATCCAAAGAAGGATCCTGCAAATCTTGGCCTGGCCCCAGCGGCGAAGTCGGGAGAAGCTTCGTGAGAGACATGTCAGGTCTAGCCAACTCCATGGGCCTCTTCTTGCAGAAGACGAACATCATTCGTGATTACTGGGAGGATTATGCACCGGCCCTGGTTTGGTGAGCTAGACGGCCGCAGCAGTTTGCTGCCTCCGCATGTCGGATGAGTTGTGCCGCAAGGTAGATGGACGTGCCTTCTGGCCACAAACAGTTTTTGCCTCGGCTCAGGGCCAGCCGCGTGGTCGACAAAGACCCATATCGCCCAAACCCAGAAAAAGACGATGTCCAAGCAAGGTCTGGAAGAGCCACGCTTGCTCCAACGATTTGGGCGAGTTTGCTCTGCCCACAGCGCATGCTGCAGGCGATAATGGGCCAGATGGCTGACAGTATCATCAAACGATCAGTCGGTGCCGGGAGTATTGCAGGAAGTCGCCTTGCAGTTAAAGCTGGGGGCGAGAATCTTGCCAAAGGTGTTGGAGAGCAGGCCTTCTGTCTGTGCTTCGACAACCATGGAATGACGTTTCTAGTTTCTGTGCAGGCTCTGCTGTGCCTGAACGACTTGGTTGCCGACGCCTTGGAGCTTGTTCCTGACTCGCTCGAGTGCCCCCTGCGTCTTAAGGAAGCAAGCTTGCTTAAAGAAGCAGCGACAGGCATGTTTGTAATCTGCACGAGTGAACGAGTGTACGACTTTCAGAACTTACAGTAATAGGTTGAGATTCTCCGAATGCGGAGCTCTACAAAGCTGTCATCGTGTCCGAGACTTGGAGAGGGCCGCTCGACTACATGGATTCCTGTGAAGTGTCAAGCATCTTCAAACTGGCCTGCCTCCAGAAACTTGCTGCAATAGCGACCAATTGCATCTTTCCAGAGGTGAAGACGCCGTCTATGTACAGGTTCTGCGCCATTCCCCAGGTGTGGTCTCAAGCTCCACTGAAGCAATCAATTACCAGACAGCAAGGTGATGGCAATTGCAACCTTGGCGGCCTGTTTCGATAACCCCTTGGTGTGCGCGGCTCAGAGTGACAGGGGCTGACAGCGCGTCTCATCGTGGCATGCTGCGATGGTCCGGATGCTGCACAGCACTCAGAATTCCTTGGGAACTCCGCCTTGAGTCTGAAAGCATCATCATGGTTTGGATGCGATCGATCGGGTTCATCAGGGGTTACGGGGTGTCCCGTCCCGGGTGAGTACCAGAAAGCAAGTGCATGATGCTGATTTTGCTTTGACTTTGATGCAGAACAACTCACAACAGTGAAGGTACACTTTTGGTTCCCATCCTTCGCAGAAGAGATTCTGTCTTCGATTTCGCTGAGTGCTTCCAAAAAGGTTCTGCTTCTAGCGCCTTCGAAGCGGCATTCTCGACACAGGAACGGGAAGTGCGCTGGAGCTGCCGGGCCCATCGGAAAGCGGCTCGAAAAGAGCTGTGTGCGCATCCTTGAGAGGACTTGGAGTTGTTTTTGCGCAGCCTTACAATGTAGTTGCTTGAAAGGGATAGTCCATGAGGTGATGTTTTCCTTCCTTGGCATGAAAGCTGCCTGAACGGCAGGATGCAGAAGCGATCGGAAGCCTGGAGGAGCAAGCAGACGCAGGCAACGTTTCGTGATCTCCAGGGCCATGTCTCTCATGTGCGTCTGCGCTGTTGCCCACACACACAGACACATATACCCACCTATGCACCAGAAGCACTTCGTCGCTGTCGCGTTTACTGCGCTGGCAGCTTCGACCTCATCTGCAGATGTGACCCACTGCCCTGCCCGAAATGTGGATTCGCTGAGGTCTCCTCCCTTTTCCTGCGTGACCAAAGCTCGCGGCTCCCCGCGGTGGCCATCTTTGCGGCACTTGTGGCATCCAGCGCAGGTAGCGTGCAGCTCATCAGGTGAGTGTTGCAGCGGTTGCTTTTGTGAAGCTGGGTGCCGCGTGAACCAGCCATACACTGACACACACACACACACATCCTCCTCCTGCCCTTCCCGTCCTGGCCAGCATGATGAGCAGGCGTGCGCGGGCGCGCCCCGTCCCGCTTGGTCCCACCCACCTTTGAGGCCTTCCAGTGAGCATCATCAGCATCATTGCGCGCGCGGGCACCCTTCCGGTACAGTACCCTCCCAATTATTGAAAACATCGACCTGCGCCTGCCTGCGCTTGATGGGCCGCTGCGCGCGTGCCGGGTGCTCATGATGCTCGCCGCGTGACGCCCAGGTGTCGCGCGCGGGTGCCCCAAAACACGCCATACCTTGGGGAATGGCCGCAAAACGTGCGCGTTGCCGGGTAAGCCTCCAGGTCCCGTGCGGCCCGATGGAGAAACGAGGGTCTCATGATGCACGTCCTGCAGCGGGTCGGCGGCATTGCCTTCCGCTGCATATAGCTATAGCTGCCATGGCCTGCGGCAGCAACTCCAGGGCGTTGCCGATTTAAGGGTTACGCCGCTGCCGCTGACCCCGCAGGATATTTTGAACGACATAGAGAAGATTTGGATGGTCTGTGCTCAAAGACGACTTAGGACGTTCATTTCTGAAACGCAACAGCAACAAAAATTTCGTGCTCCGCGGACCGGGCGGGAGGGGGGTCGGGTTTGGGGGGGTCTGGTCCCAGGGACGCAGCAGCAAGAACAAGCACAGGACGGGGTGGACGAGGGGGCGCGGGACGGCTGCAATCGCCACCCGAAGGTCACAGTCACAGCATCGGTTGGTACTTTGCAACTGCATCTGGCTCAGCCTTGCGCATCTTCGGAGCGATCGCATTTGCAGTTCACACAGATGAAAGTTGCGTTCTTTCAAGCACGGTAGATCGCAGCAGTGGGTTCTAGAAGGCAGACGCAAGACATTGAGAAATCTGCTCGTGTTCCCGAGCCATGGTGGGTAACCAAGCAGGGTCCAGCGAGGCGTGGACTTTCCATCGGTGCACCGGCTGCTGCAGCTCGCAGCTGTTTGTGAGCGTACGTCCCAAATCTGGGGATTAGAGCAGTTCGGATCTTGGGCAACCGCACCACCTCCCAGTCCTGCCAGGGCCCTGTGTGGTACCTGCAGCAGGATGTCGAAGTCGCCCTGCTCTGGAACCAGCCGCTTGTAGCAAGACGGATGTCGTTTTGAAGCCTTGAAGCCTTCTGCAGGGTGCTAATTGCCAAAGTACCACAAAAGCTTCAGCCTTGCTTCAGTACTCGCAGGGACTGTCTTTGTCGCAGCTTCTACTGCAGCACAGCGGTCCGAGGCTGAATGCTGTGCACTACCAGCTGGCGCAGAGCAATCAGCAGCTTTGTCTGCCGGGAGCCGAGACCTGGAGCAGATGTTGCAGTGTGAATAAAGCGAGCGGTGTTCCGGACACGGGGTTTAGGGAAACTGAACAGATGTCGGCAGATTAGGCAACAGAACCTGATCCTCGGTCTGCAAGAGCAGCCAGGGCCTGAAGATCTGCGAGCGAGGGAGGGAGGGCTCCACGATCTCTGCTTGATGGATAACGCAGGCTATTTCACAGCTGCTTGCGGCACGATGCGGACCAGAACCTGATCTCCAAGCTTGTGGGAAATCTCTGCGAGCTTGAGTCCTCCGGCTGCAAAAGATCCCCTTTGTGAGCTGCCCTGACACGCTGGCCGGCTGCGCAAGCCCAGGTCTAGGCAATGCAATGCGGAGGCGGAGGAATCTCCGACGGAGAAGCAGCCATGCTCTCAGCACCTGCCACGTGGACGCCCATCAGTTTTGGCTGCAAGCCTCGGCGCTGCTTAGGCCGCCCAAGAAAAGGCCAAGTCTTGGTGGCAGCACCAAAGCTCCCGACGACAGCGATCGAGAGATCGAGGAGGAAGAGTGCACTTGTGATGAGTCTCCCACGTCGGAGGCGGGCTGCGAGGGCAGTTGTGTGGATGCTCAGGTTTTTTTTGAAATTGCGATTTCGTTACCGGCTGGAGCTATTCCGTTGCATTATTTGGATCAACATCGTAACCATGCAGCTATGCTGCAATGCATTCCGCAGCAAGTCAAGACATTGGCAGATCTGCCTGCAAGATCGCAGGAGCCCGTGGCTACGTTGATCTTTGCCAGCGAGTCTGAGCAACCCGCCTTGGCATGGTGCTGTGGTCGTGGCTGGCTGTAGTTAGGACGTTTTCGGCAAGGTCCACAGGATCGCGGAGTTCCTCGCACGAATTTTCGCGAGAAGACCGGTTCGATGCAGCTTGCCAGACGGACGGCGAGGACTGTACGGCTTCTTGTCAGATGGCCAAAGCCAAAGCCTATGCCCATGCCGCGCTGAACTTAGTCGAACGAGATGAGCCCAGGTTTCAGGTTCATCGCGGGAGACTTCGGCGACGAGGTGTTCCCACCACTGCGGGGGAGAGGCAGGGCATTCAACATCGCTCACAGTAGAGGCTTTACTTGAGGGCTGGCCGGGGAATGAGAAAGACGAAACGACTCAACCCAAGGCGCTCACAGGCAGCCATGTCGGCGGCGGTGAATGCACCCCCTCCGACCTCCATGTGCGCCTTGGCCGGTGTCAACGGCCTGCTTGCACGGTTTTTTGGGTTTCTTGTCGCTGAACTGCAGCATGTCCGTTGCAACGTCTCTGCCGAACGAGCCGCAGGGCAAACCTGTTGCCGTACCTGAGTGCGGCTTGGTTGCGAAGTGGCCAGTTGCAGGGCTGTCGACAAGCAGTTGCAACGGTGCTTGTTTGAGAATGAGACCTCTCGGCACAGCACAGGTGCAGGAATTGCTGAACTGGCGCTTGCTATCGCGACGTACAAGAAGTCCCGAGGCCTGCAGTCTGCTGCCGCCGTGCGCCTGCTTCGTCTCGTAGAGGCCACTGCTTGAAGATGTGCATGTGCGGCTAGGTGTTGATACAGCACATGGCCGAGATGGGCAGCATGGACAGGCTCGGAAGGGCCCTGGCACATTTGTCCTGTCTGTCAGGGGCCATCCTTGTGGCGGTAGCCCGCCCTGCAGTGCTTTAAGCCCCCCCTCTCTCTCTGGCAGTGTTCACATGAGTTCATGTAAGCTGAGTTAGGCCCGTGCGTTTGCCGCCCAACCTGTTTAATCCTATCCCCCTTTTATTAAATGCCCCCCTAATAATAAAAATACATTGACCCAAATCCACCCAAAATTATACCTTCCCTTTGAAACCCATTTTGAATTAGGGGTTGACAATCATCACATCACCCTCACCATCACCATCACCATCACGGTCACCATTACGATCACGATCACG